TGACTGCCCGCGGCGGCTCCCCCAGCCCCTCCGTTTATTTGTCAGGGCACGGAGGCGAAGCGTTCCCGCTATGCAAAGAGCGGGCGGCACCGGGCCCATGGTCCGCATGCCAAGCAGCCGCCGTCAAAGCCGGGCTTGTTCAGCTGGCGGCCCCAGGCAGAGCCATCGTTTTGCCCCCCCCTCCGCTCACTTCCCTGCCTTGCTCTCCGGCTCTCTCACCAGGTTAAGCAGCTTGTCCAGCTTCGCAATTTCCACCTCGGGGCCCTTCTTCACCTCCTGGCCTTTCTTCTCCTGCAAAGAGAGCCAACGGGGCAGAGCTGTGAGCAGGGAGGACCACAGGGATGGGAAGGGGTCCGGCACAGGGATGGCTGCTGGGCTGCCGTGTCCCAGCTCTCAGCCCTCGCCGGGGGCTGATCCACTGGGGGATGTGCCTGCCTGTCCCCATATTTCAAGCCCAAGGTGCCATGAGATGTGTGAAAGCCCCCATGGGCTGGGGAAGGGCTGTAAGGAAGCATTTGAGTGGGGATGGGAGTCAATCTGTTGATCCACAGCGACACAAACCCTCTTCTGCCTCTCTCTTCCCAGCCCTTCTCAGCCCTGTGGGAGTGGACCACCTCTGAGCCCCCCACCTTTTCCCCCAGGCCCCGGGGATGCGCCAGGCACGCACAACTCCCAGGGCAGCGACAGTGATGCAGATGTCCACACCTCCCCAGAATGGTTCCACCAGGCCCACCCTATGTTGGTGCTCCCCAGGTGCTAGAGCAAACACCAGTGTCTGGGGGGAAGCCACGTAGCATGATGGAGATAAACCTGCCCGGTTCAGTCCTCGCTTGCTTGGGATCAGCAGGAGCTGCCAGGCCTGGTGGGGGGGACGACGTCCCTGCTACAGGTACCAGTGCCACCCAATGCTTCGGGCGGAGCATGTCCCCCCCACTGTGGGGCTGCAGCGTGTTGCTCTCGTCCGAGCTCAGGGCCTTTGGGAAAGTGATAACCTGGTTTGGGCTCTCCAGGTGCCTCTCACGGCAGACACAGCTGCAGCAAAGCAATTTTCCAGCCTGCATTCAGCCCACCGAGCCCTCGTGCAGCTGAGCATCTACCCCACGGGGTTCCTCCCGGACAACACCCACCCAGACTCCGCGTTCTGCCGCTCAGTGCTGCCTTCCGCTCGCAGCCATCCCCTGCGCCAGCTCTCGCCGTGCCTCTGGATTTGGGGAGGGGGCCTGCTCCGGGGCTGGGAAGCTCCGCTATGCCCGGCATGGCTCCGGGCCCCCCCAAAAGCAGATGCCAAGCACAGGTGAGGAGGAAGGCTGGCACCCAGCCTGGCAGGTGGGCTCAGGAGAGGGGGCCGCGGGTCCCCCACCCTGGGGCTCAGCAAGAGGGAACATCACCAACCGGTCTTGGAGGCAGCCCATGGAAAACCACCGTGCCGGCTCCTCCTGGCATCCCCAAAGCACAGCCTCTGCATGGAGATTCTGTCAGGAGGCCAAGGGAAGCAGCATGCAGCATCTGAGCAAGGAGGCCACCTGCTTTCTTCTCTCCCCACTCAGAAAAGCTCAGTTCTCCTCCCACCGAATCAGCTACTCTAACGGCCCCGGGTGCAGCAGCTGCAAACGCACACCTTTCCTTCCGCGCCGGAAAGAAACGCGGGGGCACAGCAGAGAGAAAGTCGTAGGGCTGCACGGATCGTGCTACGTTTCTCCAGCAAATGTGGGCATCGCTGAAGATGATGACTGCGGGGAAGGAAGTCCCCAGGGGACCCCCGGGCTGCTGCCTTGTCCCAGCCCAGCACAACCCTGACAGCACAGAGGTTTCCTCAGCTGCCGGAGGGCATGGCTGGGGTGAAAGCAGCCCTGGGGGAGGGGGAACAGGGACATTCGGAAACCCCTCGGCTCCCAAGAAGACGGACCGGCTGCTCATCCAAGCGCTGGGACAAGCTAGGGTTGTTTTTATTTACCGTGTCCACGGACTGCATGCCGGGACAGCGCCCATTTGTATGAACGCTGCCAAGTGAGCAACACCCTTCGTGGCTCTGGCCCGGGCGCTAGGAACGATGTTTGTGCTAATGGCCCACGTCACAGCCGAGCAGCTCTCTGAGTGAGGGTGTTGAGATAAACACAGCTGCTCGGCGTATTTCGGGACTTAGCTATTTCTGCAGAAAAGCTGCTTTGCTGTCTGATGGCATTCAAAATACTCCCTTCGGCACCCTGCATCGCACACAGCACCACACACAGGACCTTGGGACAGGCTAAAGAGGCAACTGCTTTGCTTGTCTGGGAAAAGGAGATGCTGAGGCCATCTCCCATCAACCTACCTCCATTCCAACCCCTTCGTTCTCCCCACTGGTAGGGTCAGGGAGGGTGCCTGACTGATGCCCTCCAGGTAGTAACACTGGATCCATGGAGACTGTGTCTGAGCCCTGTTGAAGTCACCGAGCACAGGCAAGGCTCAGCTCCTAGTCGTTGAGCTGTCCCTAAAACCTCAACTTTCTCACTGGCTTGGCTCTTTGATATTTCTAAGCAAGCTGCAACAAAGCCACGTGCAAGACTGTAATGAGCCATAACTGAACCAGAGCCCTAATTTAACACCACATAACCAGGCAAGAAAGATGACAACAGGGAAGGAAAATTATAATGTCCTTTTGGGGGCACTGGAATGGAAAGTTTCCCTTTATTCCTCCATCTGCTCTTCCCGGGGTGGCTGTGCATGTGAGCTGGCCAGGCTGCTGCCGGATGGCTGCCGGCACGACCACTGCACCACAGCATCTGCCTGGGTGCACGCAGCAGCTTCCTACAAATCCAGGGGCTTGGTCTGTGTCAGGCCTCCGAGGAGCAGCCCTTCTCGGAGTAGAGCTGTTGCAGTTCCTTGGAGCACGCACAGTGCAGGGAAGCATCACCGCCATGTGCGGCTGCCAGCGGGCTCTCCCTCCCGACGGATGCCACGGCCAGGCGTGGAAAGGGCACTTATGGGGCTCCCACCTGGCGTGTGGCAGAGCCCGTCCTCCGCCTGCATCCCTGCTCACACCGCATCCATGGGGCTCGTCGGGAGCTGAGAGGGAGCTGGGGCAGAGCATCCCCCCCCCGGAGCTGACAGATGCAGAACTGAGCTTACATGGGAGGCCTGTCCCTGAGGAGCTCATCAAACCAGTACCAGAGCCACTCACAGCAGTGTTTGCATCGATTTTATTGCTAACTGTTCCCAGCAGGAGAGCAAAATGCTCTTGTCTGAAATGGTGATGAGGGGTGTGTTGGGAAAACTCATGGCAGGGGCAGAAAAGGGGCTGCAGGGGGATGGACCCTGCCCCACCGATGGAGCATGACCCCAGGGAGGTGAGATGGGGAGCAGACTCCCTACATACCCCCACACTGCTGTGTGCATGGCCAAGTCCCCCACTGCCCTCAGGCTCCCTTTGCCCTATGCCTGGGCCCCGCTCTGGCTCTCCAGGCAGGGAAACTGAGGCACAGGGCTCCTGGCCCAATCCGCAGTGCGGGCACAACTGCTGCAGGAGCCTTGATGGTCCTCTCATCCCCAAAGGTGAATACTGACACTGGAAGCAAAGCAGGAGGTGGAAGATGACTGAAGTGGCGCCCCAGGGGTGAGGGCAGAGTGAGGACAAGGGTAAGGATGAGGATGAGGATGAGGACAAGGATGAGGATGAGGATGAAGATGAGGACTGGCTGTTTGAAGACCCCAGATCAATCGCCCTGGGGGCCCCAGAGCCAGCCCTCCCCATCCTAGCACACACTGAAGTCTACACCCAGGATATGGAAGTCATTTAAACTGAATTCCCTGCGTCTTGGCTGATGCCTTCCTTCCCTAGCTGAACAGTAAACTGCCGAGTTAATAAAACGCTCCCATAAAAGCCATGATGTTGGCACTTTTCAGCATCCTTTTATTTTTCCTCCCATTGGTGGAATAATCATAAAACATCTGCTGTAAGGTTTCGATTAAACAAAGCAAAACATGTTTTTGTTTTAAAGTAGCAAGAAAGTCACCATGCTGGGACAAACATTGACAGAAAAGTCCCCATAAATTCTGCAGGAGTAGAGAAGACCCTTCCCCCTGCTGAGCTAGCCAAGAGGCACAGGCCTGGCTCTCCCTGCCAGTCCTGGCAGAATGGGATTTCTGGGCACAGCTGTGCTGGGACAGTATCTGTCCACTTTACGAAGCAGCCCAGTGACCTAGGACACCACCTTCCCGTGCAAAAGCAGTCTGAGCTTTTACAGGCTGACTTTGAAGGGGGTGAGAAGCTCCAAGAAGCCACCGACGGGGCTGCCCAAAACTCCCATCCTTATTATCCGCAGTGGCAAGGGGCATAGAGCCTGCCAGGACTTCAGAAGTGTGTTGCTTCTGGAGAAGGCTTTTTCTTGCTCCTTCTATCCTGCTCAGGGGTATGAGTAAAACATGCCAATGACAGGTCTGGTGAATTCAATGAACGAAAGCACAGAAGAGACTTCCTTAGAGCATTTCTGTTGGGAAGACCAAGGAAACTCAAACACTTTCACGAACACAGCAAAATTTTCCTCACTGTCTCCCAGGGCCACCAACCTAACATGCATGGACAGGGGTGTGATATGGCCTCTGCCCTGAAGCCTTCCAAAACCTACCCCATCATGGTCCTCTTGCAACCCGATGCTGTCATATAGCGGGTGAAGCTGGGATGAAGCCTGTGCCAGCACCACTTTTGGGCTCTCCAGAAGGCTGTTTACATACAGCAGCAACGTGCTTATCAACCACGGAGAGCCTCAAGTCACACTCACAGCCTGATTTGACAACGTTGCTCCTGGCCCACAGCAGGATTAGCTGACAGACTGGCGATAAGGATTTAGGCTTTTTTTGCTACTGTTTGGAAATAAATGACGCAGGAAATGTACTGCTTGCAGGGAATGAAACCGGCAGAAACGCCCAGGGGATGACTGGGTCATTCAGGCATCAGCAACACACAGGATCATTGGCCTCAAAGATGCTGATCCCTCCAGCTCCAAGCTAAAGCCTGTGCTGTTCAGGGCGAGCACCTCTCCTTGCTCCAGCTCACATGTTTGACTCGAGAGACCACTGCTAGCATCTGCACCGAACCACACCAAGGCACAGCAGGGCAGACAGGTCTCGTGGCCCCAGGTGACCTGCTCTTGCTTGCTGGAAGTCCCCAGTGAAGCCACTGGAATCAGCGAAGACACAGCGCTGGGACCAGTCTGTGGCCCAGCGGCACACATCTGCCAGTAAAGGTACAGGAGCGAAGGTGAGTGATACCTGACAGGCAGGAGGTGCAAACAAAATTGGATCAGACCCAGAAC